TATCTGTAAAATTGAAAATTCAATATATCGCAGAAATGACATTCGATTCAGGCAAATTCAATATGTGAAAACTCTAAAGGAATAGCTTGGAAATACCAAAAGGATGCCATGTCTTTGACATACCGAAACAAGCCGTATGTTTAGTGGAATATTGATAGTAATCCAACAAAGTAGGGCACAATTCAGCTCAATGGGATAGCAACATAGTATACACTCAAAATATAACATGTTCTACAATAGGGTTGCATATTCTATTTAGCTTTTATCAAAATAATCACATGTATATACAATCATGGCCGCCAAGAGGGTTGGTAAGGGGGGAAAATTGCCTTGGACCCCCACCTAAATAAGGCGCTAACTTGAGATCAAATCTATTCTATAAACTGGTCAGAGCATTTTTGAAATTGAGGGCCACTTACAGTACCTCCATATGCAGTCTGGCTATAAGGTTTAGTTAGTTCTAGCTTAAAAATAATGATGTCATGGATCCCCAGGGAGATTTGCCCCGGGCCCCGCAAATTCTCTAGGCGGCTGCAGATAAACCTGTCCCACAGCAGCAATATAATACGCATCAAAAGAGTTTATTTTCACAAAACATTACATGGCACTGATTATATATACCTTCGTGTATAGCTGTGCTACTATCAATCTTCTTTATCAGGTGGTCTGGACCCTCTAAGGTTAAACCTTGTTCTTTTGTGTTTGATGTACTACAGCATGCAAAAGTGATATATCAATTGGTTTACATCAATCTAAAAGAATGGAAAAAAAACTATAAGAACAGACACCATTGCAATTCTTACTGGAATGCTGCCAATCAAAGAACACAAGAGAATCAGATATATAATGGCATACTGTAAACCTCCGAATATTATATTCGTTCGTAATATATATATATATATATATATATATATATATATATATATATATATATATATATATATATATATATATATATATGCTGTTGGGGCGACCAGTGGAATACATGATAGTTTTGGAGTTGAAGCTGGTCTAAAATTATTTTTAAAATACTAGAATATGTACAATTTTAGACTTTTTATTGTACATATTCTAGTATTTTAAAAAGAATTTTAGACCAGCTTCAACTCCAAACTCTATATATATATATATATATATATATATATATATATATATATATATATATATATATATATATATATATATATATATATATATTAGTCAAGGCTTGTAAGGGACAACATGTCCTATTGCTTGGCTCCTGTCAACTTGTCTTTTGTTGCAAATGTCTTAAAAAATAAAATAAAAATAATGCGCAATGCGTAAGCGGCATGGCCCATCCTGTAGAGCGCTCAACATGACCTAAATTATTTACGAAACTGTATAGTAATAAATATGCCAAACAAAGCTTGCTAAGTTTTTGTGTCTTTCTATTATGCTCTGGTTATCCATTGAGCACTCTATCATTGGTTTTTATAACCCTACACAAACTATTTTATATATATAAATATATATATATAAATATATATATATAAATATATATATATATATATATATATATATATATATATATATATATATATATATATATATTAAATTATAATTTTTACAAAATTATACAGTGTTCTCCGGATTGTAATTATTTGTTTTGAGCTTTCGACTCGGTACTTCGAGCCTTCATCAGAAAGATTGATCATTTGAATTTTCGTGCTGTTGTTGACGTTGTTGAAGTCTGTGGAAACGTCTGATTGGTTGATGGATTTCAATATGTTGGTTGCCATTAGTTACTATCGAATGCGGGCGAAAATTCAAATGATGAATCTTTCTGATGAAGGCTCGAAGTAACGAGTCGAAAGCTCAAAACAAATAATTACAATCCGGAGAACACTGTATAATTTTGTAAAAATTATAATTTAATAAAATGCCTGGATTACAAATTTTCAAATCTATTAAATATATATATATATATATAGTGTTGTACCTCATGATAAATATATATATATATATAGTGTTGTACCTCATGCCTTGGTGAGAGCAAGTTCATGGGGTATAAATACGAGTGTCTCACGTATCTAGACGTGTACCAAGCTGCACTGACGAGGCGTTGAACGCCGAAACATGCATGTCTGCAGATTGTACTATATATATATATATATATACATATATATATATATATATATATATATATATATATATATATATATATATATATATATATATATATATATATATATATAGTTAGATATCGCTCTATGTATAGCCTTTAGGTCATATTGAGCGCGCTACAGGATGAAACATTGCAACTTACGCATTGCCCACGCTCACTGCTTGCAGTTTGAGAGCTCTGGCATGGTTTTGATGTCCCACAATCGTGAGGCATCAAAGGTAACAGTAAATAGCAGTTACTTTCATCCTGCTCATCAGCACTACACTGATGAGCCCCATAAGGCCGAAAAGGTACCGTCTGTAGTTCGATATCGCTCTATGGCCTTGCAGGTCATATTGAGCGCTCTACAGGATGAGCCCTGCCGCTTACGCATTGCGCGCACTCACTGCTTGCAGTTCGAGCGCTCTGGCATGGTTTTGATGTCCCACAATCGTGAGGCATCAAAGGTAACTGTAAATAGTAGTTACTTTCATCCTGCTCATCAGCACTACACTGATGAGGCCCATAAGGCCGAAACTGTACTGTCTGTAGTTATACAGGGTGTATCAAAATAAACGCAATTCATCTTTTGTGCTTAATAACTTTCGAAATACTATCTCTAGTTAAACGCTTTTAGGCTTACTTCAAAGCCTGTTCTTTTCTCTTTCAAACAAACTATTACCCTTGTCTCCAATGCTAGTAATAATTGCACAGGAAAAGATTTAGTAAAACCTATCATTTTTAGTTGCTGTTGAATTATGCAAGTTTACTATGTTATTGTTTAGTCGGTTTAAATGTTAGAATTTTCATCTTTAAGCTTTAATGTTGTCGTCACTACATCTGGAAAACCACGTAAGAACAAATTGAAAGCATTTTAAAAGAGACCAGGTTGTTTGAAAATCCTAAACGAATGCTAAAAATCGTTAAAACATTCTGGTGTCTGAGCCAGAGTGTCATCGAATTGCGATGTAATGTAAACAGAAATTATAGCAAGTTGATGTCAGTCATCTTAGATGGTCCAAGCCAAAATTATATCGCATTTGAAGTTTCAAACTGAGTTAAAAATAGTGGAAGAAAAGCCGTAATTATACTTATTGTTACAATCCATTTAATAAAATGCAACATTTTTTTTGTTCTAATGAAAAAATCAGTTATTTTCATAAGAACGATTTGTAATTCCATCTCAATTTTTTTAATCTCCAATCGCAATAACGTAAAATATTATTACCCGCGAACCAATGAGTAAATTTAAGAAACAACCCACTGTTTGAAAGCTGAATGGCTACGCTTTAAAATGAATGTAAACTTTAACGTTTTCGTCTATTATTTGTTTAGCAATTTACATTTCAGTCGAGGATTGCGCTTTTTTTTATACACCCTGTACATATATATATATATATATATATATATATATATATATATATATATATATATATATATATATATATATATATATATATATATATATATATATATATATATATATATATATATCATTATATGGAGGTACTGACACAGTATAGCCTAATGGCCAGCCTAGACCTAGGCCTTCTATTTTTATTTACATTTTTTTAATATTCAGCGCTTTTTCAGATGAAAAGACTGGGACTAGGTGATTTGGGGGCGGGGCGGAGGAAGGACACAAGCCTGACGCAAGCGAAAAAATAGAAGGCCTAGTGGATTTCCCAACAACAAGGCCAAAACTGCCCTGAAACTGCCCTGATTGCGAAATGCCCAATTGTTGCGTTCTCAAACAGAATTATTTGCAACTTAACAGCGAATTTAAACCGATACAGGTAAAATAAACTCATTTATAGTATAAACTTACTATTTTTATTTGTATACACGTCTAGAAAATCGGGTTTTTTATCATAATGTTTGAAGAACACTATTTATATATGTTGACAAGGTGTAGCGAAACGGCACAAAATATAAATAATTCTTTTATTCGCAAGACAGTCTACTGTTTTGCTTTGAATAACTATATTTGCGAATTGGGTATGAGGATTTTGAAATTATTGTTCAAATATTACGGATATACCATTTGTAAACAATGTACGTTTTTATATACAGACTGTACGGGCTAATATTAAATATATGTACAGTATTTTGTATATTTTACAAACACAAGACTGTTTCTTGGCAAAATTGAGAAAATATATATTAATGTAGTTGTGTATAAGACAAAATTTCATGAAAGATTCTACTTTTGGTATATATTTTGACTCATTTTGTGCTTTCGCTACACCTTGTCAGCATATTAAATAATAGCTTTGCTTCGAACTTTATGATAAAAAAACCGATTTTCTAGACGTGTATACAATTAAAAATAGTAAGTTTATACTATAAATGAGTTTATTTTACCTGTATCGGTTTAAATTCGCCGTTAAGTTGTAAATAATTCTGTTCGAGAACGCAATAAATGGGCATTTCGCAACCAGGGCAGTTTCAGGGCAGTTTTGGCCTTGTTGTTGGGAAATCAACTAGGCCTTCTAGGCTTGCTTCCTCCGCCACGCCCCCAAATCACCTAGTCCCAGTCTTTTCCTGTGAAAAAGCGCTGAATATTAAAAATATAAATAAGACTAGAAGGCCTAGGTCTAGGCTGACAAAAGTCCTTTCCACAGAGGAAGCGAAGCGCGCCATAGAAGGGTCTGGAAAGGACTTTGGAAAGTCTATATACTATCTAGCAATCACCATAAGTAAACTTTTAAAAGTTTATTTATAGTTCAATGAGCTGGATTTAGATTATTATCTGATTTTTATCAATTATCCCGCGATGCATATGTTACCCACCGTAAATATTGCGTAATTTCGCCGTTTGCCGGCGAGCCGAGCAATCGTGGATATTTTATACGGCTGGCAGTCGGCTTGAATCCGCTAATCGGGTGGTAAACAAGTGTCACTTTTTACATAAAATTTTTAAAATACTGAATTTGTGTCCAATTTTGGCCTCTAAAAATATTTTTCCTGGCTGAACTTGTTGTAAACCATGGATTTTCTGCTTCTACATGCGTCTTTGGCAATGAAATAGTTTATTAAAGCGAAAAAAAGCGGCCCAAGACTTGAATATGGCTTTGTCAAATTTCGACGACAAGATATGTCCAAGGTTTCTTGATGGTTACAGCAAGGAAATTCTGCCGTGGGATCGCTTTAATCGATGGATATCTTGCTTTTGTGTTGTTACTTTTGATCTAGAATTGGGACAGGCGATGGAGGTAACGTTTCACACTACACACAGAAAAATATTAAAAATATTAATTTAATAAAACCATTCAAATTATTGAAAATCATTGATGTGAAACCATCAATGGTTTTTTCCAAGAACTGTTGGAATTTCAATTCACATTAATGGTACCATTAATGGTTTCTTTTCAATACCACCAATGTACATTTTGTTGGCAATATTCACATCAATATTCTTAGCAATTAACATTATTATATATATATAAAGTTAGTGCTTTATAGAGATTTTGAGCACTGATAAAACTGATAATCTCACATGTGAGATTATTTGTGATAATTTCACATGTGAAAATGATTGCTTTTCAATTATCTGCTTTTCTGTAAAAATTGTCGCTTTTCAAAGACTGTCCTTTATACTATTAACAGAAATGCACTCACTCGTGAGATATCATGTTCAACACTCGAAATAAATCTGGTATTTTCGCGCACCCATGTATTATTCTTTATGTAATATAAATAAAACCCATTCTTATCATAATGTCATTCATGGTAAAAACTATAAATTATCACCATGATGTAACGAGGGTGGAAAGTTTGTTTTTTGTGCGCCGAAGATTTGATCAAGGTTCAGTAACATGATGCTTGCGATGTTACTCTGAGTGTATATCCACACTGGGCGAGCTTGAAAAATATGCCCGGCCCCAGCGGGAATCAAACCTACGACCTTAATGGAATACTAGCCCAGTGACATATTCACATGTGCCGCCGAGTTGCTGTCAGCACCAGTCAGTGCTAAATCAAATCCCCTTTATTAAATGGCTGTAATACAAACAGAAATGGTTAAGAACATTGTAGTGTGCACAACTAAATACGTTTTTGTACGCTAGTGTACCACACCAGTTCATTTTCCCATAATTCTGCGTCAAAATGGAGGAAATTTATGAATTCAATTTTCCACACCAAAGGTCTTTCGCGCAACCTACAAGCTTTCCACCATGGTGATGTAATATATTGAACAAACCCATCCATATAATGATGTCAATATCATTATATCATTAATTAATTAATTAATGGTCAGACTTAGGCCTAAAAAAATACCTGTGGTTCCGGTTTGATATCGTGAAAAAATGAAGGTCAGTAGGTTGGAAATAATTTTTTTTTTAAATATTTTTTTTATGGTTTTGGCGTTTTTTACTGGGCGATTTGCAGTAGAGTCCCGGCATCAATATTAACTAGAGATGCGTATTTCCTATGGAAGAATTTAAGCAATTTAGTTCAATAATTAGAGTGGCAACAGACGCCATTTTGGCCACGCTGTATGAGCAGCCCGCAACCACCCGGAGAAATAGGGTCGCACGGTCAATCGCGTTGAAAAAATAATAGGGTCGGCAGAAAAAAATAAGGTTGGTCGGGAACCAGAATCACAGGTATTTTTTTTAGGCCTTACTCTGCTTACACATTTAAATTGCCCACACACTTGCTACTTGAATTTGCAACGTAGGAGGAATAAAGTAGGCTGCATTTTGGCGGATTGCTGCTTATAGTGGGATGTTAAGCTGTTAACTCAGACAATGACATTGAGTCGTTTACAGTGTGAATGGTCTGACTCATTGTCTGTATTTGATGAAATATTAATGATTTTATGACTTTCACAGTTTGAAATTAAGTTTTAATTAAAAGCATCATTATTTCAATCAATTTTAGGTCTCTGCATGTCTCTGATTGTATACTCCACAAAATGGAATTGACCTATATGCTAAATATGTATAAGTTAAAAATTTTATTGAAATACAACAACATATTAAATAAAATGCAATGAACTTTTTTACTATTCAGAATAATTTTAAATCGCCTGGTCATTTCAGACACTCCAAATTTCAGTATTTTGCGGAGGATGACCCCCTGGACACCCTACATGGCTTGTGCCTTCAGTGCTTGATTAATGTACCCTTGTTTCAGTTATGTTTCCCCAGTGCTGCTAAATCCAACATGGCTTGCATCATACACATGCTTTAATTCTAAACTTTACCGGACAATACTGTAATTGCTGAAAAAAGGATGAGAATAAGTTGTCTAGTTAGAACTTTTGATATTTCCAATATGCGAAAAATTGAATATTGATATTTTTTAATCGATGTCAGCCTAGGTACAATAGATTATAATTTGGGTTATGATTTGCAACTTTGACAGCTTAAAGCTAATTTCCTGGGCTGGCTTTTGATACTACCATATAATTTAAATTCTATGACTATGGCTTTGCAGGTTTCTAATGACCAGTAAGTACTGCCCACTCTCATCTGCAGTGCTCTTTCGTCCTTTCAATTAAATTATTTAGCAATGAGCTTTAATGAACGTCCTTCTGGAGTTCTCCCTGCACGATCTCAGGCTCTGACAGATTATTTACCTTTACAGTTTACAGACATGTGTATCAATCATGTTTCGCTCACTACTTTGGTTTAAATAAAGGAATTACAAAGCCCAGTCGAATTGTAATCAAGACCCAACGTTTCGACACTCCAGTCTAGTGTCTTCATCAGGGGTGATCTAAAACCTAAGTCAACTTTAGATCACACCTGATGAAGACACTAGACTGGAGTGTCGAAACGTTGGGTCTTGATTACAATTCGACTGGGTTTTGTAATCATTTAAAATTTATTTAAACCAGAGTAGTGAGCGAAACATGATTTACAGACATGGATTCAACAATTGAAAGATAGTCCTCGAGTTTATTTTATATTGTTCCACATATATTGGATCGTTGATGCTTAGTGTGTGCTGAATTTGGTTAAATGATATATTAAGAGATTATGAAGAAATTCGCTTAGTTCAGTTCCATTTTCAATGTCAGACGCCATTTTGTATCATCGACCATCAATTTTTATTTCTCGATCATCAATAATTTTTATCCCTCGACTATCACTTTTCATTTCTCAACTATAGTCGACTATGAATTTCTCAGTTTTTGAAACTTGACAATCAATTTGTAAAACTCAATGCACTTTTGTCAGGTTTGGCTTGCCATATTTCATTCCCAACGTACGGTACAGTATATTTATCAAGGATCAGTTTAAGGTAATAAGGTGCAGTGTCAGTGATAACAAATTTGTGCAGTGATAAACGAGATTTTGTGCAGTATACTTACTGATTTTCTTCAATATTTACAGTTAGTAACTGTAGGTGAAATTAGGAGCGCATAATTTATCACAAATTATGTTTACATTGTTCAAAAACATGATAAGCACAAGGAAGACAATCAGTTATGCCGGTTTTTACTTAAAGTTTTGAAATTTTATATCGAATTTTATATGGCCTAATATTCAATCTTTCAAGATGGAATGTATCAAAACTTGTGTCTGAAAGTGCAAGAAATCAACCTCTGGAAGCTAAATAGTACGAAACATTTCTGGATGAGGACCCCCAGGTCTCCTGAAAAGTTCTGTCTTTTCCAATTCCCCATCACCTAGTTGGGTCCCTTTTCCTAGGTTCCCAATCATGTACAAATTCGTAAATATTCCTGTTTTGGATATCCCAGTACAGCACTGAGTAACGTATGATCTAGAGAGCTGTACTCAGCGCTCCTTCGCTATGTGACATGCTGCTATTTTATCTTTTTTGTGCAGATAGTAATACAAATAATTCCTGTTATTCATAATTTAAAATAATCCCTGTTATTCATTGATAATGTAAATCTTTTTTTTCTTCAGATGATTTATCCTCGTTTTGTAAGACTAACGGAAAAAGAGGTATTAAGAAAATACAGTATTTATTATTATACCATATTATTTTAGTTATTTCAAATAAGCAATTTGTCAAAAGTGGTTAGTTGATATACAGTGTAAAATAAAACAATGCGTGCAAAGCCCCAGCCCCATCAGGCCCCGATGTCGCCCCATCCCCAGCCAAGGTTTTTTCTTTCCTAAAATATAAGCAAAACATTGCTTATAAAACTTACTTTATCCAACCATCTTTCATCTCTCCACGCTCAGTATACTATAGTATGATCCCTTTCTGTAGATGCCCCCCCCCCCCTACACGTTCTGACGAATGTTGTGAACCGTTATAACTCTATCAAGTGCCATACACTCAGTAGCCTTTTCTTTTTTCATTTAGAAAATGAACATTTGTTATTTGGCATTCCCAGATTCGAATTCAGGTAAATATTATAAGCAGAGTACTACGAGTCGATGGTCACTTTTAAATTTGTGTTCTGTATAAGTTAGCTAGAGAACTTTGTACAGTAATCAGTATTCTCGGATTTTATTCGGCAAATATTGGGATGTTTATAATTTCAATCTTTTTTAACGATTCTAGAATATGAAATTCACTGTCTAAATATTCATATTTCTTTGTGTTATTGAAAAAGAAGCTGCCGGTTCTAAGTTGTCCGCCCAACAGCATAAAACATGCACGAGTGAGTTTTTCAAAGGGCCGGGCATCTAAATTGCACGAGTCCGAATTAGGTAGATAAGTGTACTATTTGAGGTCTTTGAAAAATTCACGAGTGCTTGTTTGATCCAAATTTCACGAGAAACCATCATATTACGGATTAATAATATCACATAAAAATGTTCGAGACAATTGACGAAGTGACTGGCTTCATCACGGATACGAAACCGGATCTACTGTAGCATGCAGCCACAGAATAGAAAATATAACCAGAAGCCTCACTGTACACCTTTCCTTAACATTTTCGTGTCCGCGATTTTCGCCTTGCGGATCACGAATTTCGCACGCTAGATGACATGTGTGACACTTGCTGCGAACATCACGCCAGCGTTTGTCAGCATCAATCTGGCGGTCAATTCCTCAAATCAACGGTTTTTCTTGAAATTCACAAAACATGCTCAAAGTGTACGCTGCATATTCTGCAATTATTGTGTAAATATTTTACGCTTTTGTTTTTAAGTCGTGTCTTCCTGTTGCGATGACCCATTATTTGGACCTGTGGCATTTAAAAACGGTTAAAACGACGATCCTTATCAAGTGATGGCGTATTGCTCGTGTTTGATATCGTCGTGATTACACTTGCTGGCTCGCGCCTGCGCATAAAAAATCACGGACATAATTTGGGCTCAGTGAGACTTCTGGTCTTACTTTCTATTCTGTGATGCAGCCTAGTCCCTGGCCTTCCAAGCGCGGGCGAGTTACAGGCTGTCGTGAACTTGCGGGCTCTCAGCTTCGGAAAATATCCGAACTGGGTCGTGCTGGAAGGCCTAGCAAAATTCGCATAATCAACATGGCGGTGTATTTTCGTGAATTGGATTAATCTTCACTATTGTATTAAAATGTAACGAAATGCTTTTAAAACACGTATTATATTTAAATTTTGTATTTTGTCTCGTTGATAAACCAATCAGGACACCACTGGCACTGACAATTTGTTGGCTTGTCCACACAAAGACTGTGTCGACCGAAATGATTTGTTCAAAAATATTAACCAGCATTTCTCGACACAACATTTAAAACCACACACTGGAAGTAATGGTAAGCTTAATGGAACAGAACATTTCACTTGCTAATGAAAGGACCGTGCGATGAATTGATTTTTAGAAAGTACATTGCAGTATCAATACAAATATATTTATCTTATTATTAATACCAAAGGTTTGACATATACCAGATTTAAGTTTTATTAGTTAAATATATGGTGCCTGACTATCAGTATCAAGCTAACTGAAAAGTCAAGTTGAGCATGATACTCATATGCCAATTAAATTTCATGTTATATACCCAATATATTTTGTTGACAAGTAAAATTATCTGGCAATAAACAAAGTAAAATACCAGGATGAGAAAATGTGTTGAGAAAATGAGAAAAGGTGTTTTGCCCAGATTCAACTTACTTTATTATTTACTCTGTCTAATGCCAGACAATTTTACTCATCAGTGGTAGGGTACTGCCTAAAACTTATGTAAGAATAAAAAAAATCTTATCAAAATGAATTATGGTTTTGCAGTGATAGGGGGCTTGACGACTTTATTCATTTGTGTTAGAGGCTTGACTAGAGAGAGTACCTTTTTTTGTTTTTCCATATGACTTTGTGGTGTTCTGTCACTTTTTTACCAACATTAATTTTTCCTGTCATACGCTGATAAAATTAAGGCTTGCCTAAATTACAGATATTCATGCATTTTAATATAACTATTACTATATGCACATATACTTATCATGCATTTCTTTGTTTACTGGCACAATAGTCATTCAATTGTCATTCAAGCCAATGAAGTTCAATTTCAATGACCTTCCTTGATCCACGGATCCTGACCTCAATGTTTTAAAATACTACTTCATTTCAAATCCATGATTTTGGATTCTCATAATACTATATTGCTAGTAAACTGAAAACAAATTTATTCCATATGTGATATGGGGCCATTCCCAAAATACATAATGCTTGTGGGGATCACTGATCTAATAGTAGACAGTGGGGATAGAGGGGTGTTTGATCGGGAGTCGCAGAGTGTCACAAGGGGGGGGGGGTATCACATGAGGAGAAAATTTATCCCTGTCTATAAAAAAACAAGACCTTGCTTGCAAATATGTTGCCCTTAGAAGACAAATCAATGTTTTTTATCAAAATATATTGCCTGAGTGGGAAAGAACCTGAATGGAAAGGCCGAGGTTAAGGCATTGAAATAGTGTCTTGTACATACAGTACAGTATTTTTTTGCATAACTTTATTGGGGTAAATAAACGTCTTGTTTACAAATCAACTGCACTAATGATCGGTGTCCCCAGGGGTTGATCACCAGGAGGGGGGATTTGTTACTTTTTGTACAAAAATAATATCCCTCCAGGTAGGGAAATTGTTTGCATTTGGCCAGGGAGCATTTGTAATTTACCTAGAGGGGAGGGGGGGGGGCAATAGTGATTTTGAGAGGGGTCACAATTTAGGGGACTATCAAAAATTACCTGAATATTAGGCAGTGAACCTTCAACAAAAAATTTCCGTTAGTTTTCATTTTTGTTGCCATGCAAAGTTGCAAACCTTTCATATTCTAAGGATTTATGACTGAAGTTGTTGTTAATAGATATGGAAGTTCAATGGTCAAGAATATTTGACATTATAATGCATGTCAGAATTTATTATTCATATTGATAAGAAACCAATACTAATTAAAGGTCAATAGATTTTTGGAAGGGGGAGACAGGGAGTCGACAATTCACCATCTGTTGTTTACAATCATATGGGGGGGGGGGGGAACGAATGTGATCAACAAATGTGGAGGGGGGGGGCAGAAAATTTAAATCTAAAAACCGTCATAGCCCTCCCCCTCCTGTAAGTAAATTATAAATGCCCCTAACAGGCACAGTTTACCCCCAGGATAAACCAAAAGGATATCAACATTCACATAGTAGTGGTTATTTGATTGTTCACCTTTCTGCTATACAGTACGATTTTCTATGGAGTTAACCAATTGTATTGTATAATATAATGTTTCTGTTAGATATGTTATGTTTCCATATTAATATTGCCTTGGCAATGGGATAGGTACTGTAATATGATTTTTGTTATTAAACTTTACCCTGTACCCAAGGGCTTTGTCAATATTTTGTTCTTTCAACCTCATGGGAAGCAGAGGAAAGTGAATAAGTGCAAAGGGGCATGATATAGATATTTACACTTTCCATTAATGGCACCTTTCCAACAACAAAAATATGAACAAAATATATAGAATAAACATTTAACAATTTGAATACTAACTAGTAACTACAGTTCATACAATGAGACAGTCAACTTCTGAAAATATAAACAACCACGCGGCACGCGCGATATTGACCAAGTTACAAGTTACACATAATTTGATTCTTTCAATTGATTTTACACGAGCGACACTGGTCGAATAGCAGCTGATACAATCACAGATCCAATTTAATAAATATATACGTGGAATATCATATACGTACATTTTGCATAAGACTTCCTTTAGAAAATTCGACAATATATAATAATTATTATATTATTATATTTGAGGTAAAAATACCAAGTCCAAAATCACGAACAAATATACACCAAACTGTTCAGTGTTGACTCCTTGGCTTAGAACTTGCAAATCACACTTTCCCAACATTATATAAGGCAATAGCACCTGTAATTTTCCTTCAAAATGCTTCTTTAATACAATTTTTACTGTAAAGTCTGTAAAATACTCACAAATTTATATTAAAAATTTAACAAAAAATTATCGAAGTAAACTAGAGCCCACTCCCAACGCGAAGGACAAATCAGGACAGTTTGCGAATTTTGCTAGGCCTTCTCGCTTCTCGACTCTCCCCAGTCTCCAAATAATACAGCTTTATCCCGGTCAACCTGGAAACCTTGTCGATTTCCCCCTAAAATAATGAGGCGGAAGCGAGAAGGCCAGGAACTAGGCTGGCCTTCGAATTCGAAAACAAGCTACAAGCGCCAAAAATCAACACTTAAAAAAAACCAGAAAAAAAAGTTGCAGAATACCAAGATCGAACTAAAAACTTGTTATTAACACTAGTCTATTACCTGTCTAAAATATGTTTAAACGGTTGAATTGTTGACCCAAAACCAATGTCAAAGAGAGTTTTCGTTTAAAAAACAATCAAAAAACTATCCCCTTCCTTAGATCACTACACATTTTGCTATACCACGCATGCTTGAATGTAGCTTAAATATTCCATGACACATGTGACATGTTCTTTATACGTAGGTCAGTATAAATTATGTGAGGTCAATAAGGTCATAATTATATCAAAAGGGTGGGCACACGAAATTCTGCTCGAGCACACGATTTAGCATATTTTCGTGCAGATGTTAAAACGTTCCCTATCGTTTCCACCACCGTTGTTTTATCGACTCCGCCCGACCGAATATACAGACATTGTGTCCACTTAAAGCTGCTAGGCCGTATTCTGTGGCACGATATCGTTCAGTTCCGTTGCCCGGGTTCGGGCACTACTTTGAAACAAGATAAATAATTAGGATAAATTATACAAAGTCCAAATCCGCTTGTTTGCACTTCCCAAAAC